AGAAACATTTATTATTATTATTATTATTATTATCAATATTTAAAACAGTTGAGTAACAGTTTTTTTCAGGACTCTTTGAATAGAAAGATCCAAAGATCAACATTTATCTGAAATAAAAAGCTTTTGTAACATTATACACTATACCATTCAAAAGCTTGGAGTCAGTATATTTTTTTTATGGGGGAAGAAATGAAATAAATTAATACTTTTATTTAGCAAGGATGCTTTAAATTGATCAAAAGAGATAAATGCTGTTCTTCTGAACTTTCTATTCATCCGCTATTTTCAAAATAACAATAATAAGTTGTTGTTTTTTTAGCAGCAAATCAGAATATTAGAATGATTTCTGAATGATCATGTGACTGAGCATATTATACTGATTTCTGAAGATCATGTGACACTGAAGACTGGAGTAATGATGCTGAAAATACAGCTGCGCATCACAGAAATACATTACTGTTTAACAGATATTCACATAGAAAACAGTTATTTTAAATAGTAAAAATATTTCAAAATGTAACTGTTTTTGCTGTACTTTGGATCAAATGCAGGCTTGATGAACAGAATTCTTTAAAAACATTAAACATCTGACTGTTCAAAAACGTTTGACTGGTAGTGTAATTATAACAAGATATAATGTATTACAATGCACATTATGAATAATTATAATGCATTATAGCCTTTAATAACCCTTCATGATGCATTACACATAAAGGCTTTAAGTAAAGTGTTACCGATTTCTTCACTGTACTACACGTGATGAAGGACCTCTATCCAGACGTGTCACAGTGTTGTCACATAAATACAGAAAATAACCAATCATCAATCAGCAGGAGTTGTTTGGCAGATGTTGTAGCTTCTCCATGTTCTGCATGAGCAGTGTGGCTGTTCTTCTCACGCTATGAATCATGATGAGAGATGAGTTCTCCTGCTGTGAATAAACCCTGAGCAGTTTCTCATTCCTGCTGCTGCTCAAGAGAAGGTTTGGTCACTGGTTTCACCGAACCCAGTTTTTCCCGTCCGGTTCTGTGGAATGCTGCCGGATTATCTCGATGAGCGCGATCGATCTGATCTTCATCCGTGTAGAGAAGGCTCTCGAGTGACTCGTGGCTCTGCAGCGGTGTTTGAACGTGTTGATCAAGAGCGTCTGGTTTATTCACGTTGGTTCATGCCGGCCTGCTGCAGATGCTGCTGCAGATGCTTCGCCTCAAACCCCTGACTCTGAGCTGAATCAGCTGCATACAGAGCTCAGATCATCTGCTCATGGAAGAGTTTCATGACGAACACTGGCTAATCTGAGCAGAGTCTGTCCAGATCTTCTGAAACTCTAGAGGAGACACATGTGGGATTTTTCTTTTCTCTCTCCATTTCATCTCATTGATGTTTAGGAGAATCAGTAAAGCTATTAAACAGTTTTGTCATCTTTCTTTCCTATGCTGCTGTTGTTCTTTGCTTGTAATCTCAGTTTCCTCATTTGTATTTTCTACTCCATTAGAAGAGCAAAGATGGAAACATGCTCTGACTCTAAAAATACAATTTGTCACATCACAGTTTTTCTATACGCTATAAACATGTAATACAATAGCTAAAGGAATAGCTCAGCCCTGAAACAGAAACAGTGTATCATTTGGTTGCCCTCATACAGCATAAAAATACCATAAAAGTGATCCATGCACTATGTTCCTACAAGTCCTACAGCAGCTTTGTGTGAGGAACGAGCCAAAGATAAGTCACTATTCCCTGAAAATATCCCGCTCTGAATCTGTCCTAATGCATCGCACCACAGAAGACAATCTTACATGTTTGGAACGACATGAGGATGAACAAATCAGGGCAGAGTTTTCATTTCTGACTAGAACCTACTAATGAAGCATAGCTTCCTTCAATAGAATATTCTCAGATGTTGTACTTTCACTAGTATTCCTGACGGAAAACCCACAGGCTGTGAAAGTGGCTGCTGTGAATTCTGTCTAAGACTGACTGCAGTGTGTTTTCCAGCCCATGATAAACCGCTCTACAATAACATGCTATTCATAGCATCTGCAGTTTAATATGTGCTTTTCTGTCTTTGTGATGGATGTTGGTGATGGTTGTGGCTCTGCTCGTCTCTCCTGGGTGTGGTGCTTCTAGTGCAATAAACACAGAAAAAGGCCCGAAACGGCAGAGAAGCCAACTCTGAGGTTATGATGTCATCTTGTCCCGTTTCAGATTCACAGACGGCTTCTGACCGCAGATATGTGCCTGCTGTACAGTGTGTGTGTTTGATGCCTGCGGTTCCTGCCTATATTTGGTCTTCATTCGGCCTTTAGCTGGCCCGTTGACTCGCACACGCTTGCAGTCTGTGTGTTTCTCTCCGTTGGAAACACCCAGCGGTCCCTCCCAGAACCTCTCCGACCTGCGCGCCCAGTACTGCCTCGGCTTTAAATATCACACAACAAAAGCATCCCTAGAGCAGGCTTTATGAGCGATGACGTCACGCCTCGTGGCATCTCTCCACCCTCCTCGAGACTTTCACTCCACTCCTACACACCACTCACTATAGCTCAACTCAATCGTCTACACACCACACAAAAACCCACCAATTCACTATCTCAACAAATTAGAATACTTCATAAGACCAATAAAAAAAACATTTTTAGTGAATTGTTGGCCTTCTGGAAAGTACCTTCTGGAGAGCCCCTACCTAAACTTTTACACGACATTCTAATTTATTGAGATGCACCTGTATATTTGTCATAGTGTTGATGAGTAATTCTAAATTATGGAATATGTGTCTGCAGATAATAATTTACATAAAACACATTTTTATATCCTCTTGCTCACTCACTCTCTTATTGGCTTCTTGTAGGGTGTTATTTTACTTAGCTATAAATAATACATATGTGTGTGTGTGTGTGTGTGTGTCAGTGTGAGAGCGAGAGAGTCTGTGTTGTGTGTGTGTGTGTGTGTCAGTGTCAGTGTGTGTGTGTGTGTGTGTGTGTGTCAGTGTGTGTGTGTGTGTGTGTGCACCTTTGTTTAGGTGCTGTAATTAACTAAACAATGTTTCTTTCCTAACAGCTACAGAAAGGTAATAAATAAATAAAATTAAACTGTTCTACTACCACAATCACAAAATATGATTTGAATTCCAGTTACATATTGAGTGAGATTTTGTTTTGCAGTGCAGTCATTTTTCACAGTTTGGTATTAATTGTGTCATTTCATGCTGCGGAGCTCAACAATGAACCTCCACGCTTTTATTTGGAAGCTTCTGTGTATGATACACTTCTCATTGTGAGCCTCGTGAACTCTAGCTCTCTGTCCATGAAATGTTTGAAATTTAAATACAAAGTGAAATATGAGGCGTGATGTAGTTTGATAGGTGAGGAACAGACAGAACGATGTTATTCACAGTCCTACCTTAAACACTCTAGTTTGTGCTGCCTTCAGCGAATAATAATGCTGTTACTTTGTAGACACCATTCAAAACAACAACGACCTGAAAACTCTTGTCTTCGCTTTATCTGAATTTGTATTACATTTTAAACAATACCTTAAAAATAAAAATATGAATTGTCCTGCAACTGGGTTTATCAGATGTACTACAGCTCCTTATATGAAATAATAACACATTACATCCTAATAATGCAAGCGGATTAGTTTCTTGTAGGAGTGTGTCTGTGCACAGATGTTCCAGCCGTCGTCTCTCTGGCTCAGCCGGGTCTTGTGGTCTGGAATGACTCTGGAATGCCTGTGAACACCCAAAGATGCTGGCCTTACAGAGGCTTTTCTATAAATACACTCCGGCCTGGTTCTCATGGCTCTGTGCGACCCCAGGAGATCCGGCAGGCACCGAGCGCTGCGTCAGGGCTGCTGTTAGATCATGCTGGGCATGTGGTTTAAAAGAGACCAGTCAGGAAAAATGAGTTTCAGATCTCTCATTTGAGAAATGCTTGTCAGAGGGAATCTTCATATTGTTGCTGATCTACTGTTCTGCATGCAGATGTTCTGTATGCACAGTTTACCCAGTCAGCCCAGAGATACGCCATTCCCTTTCACTACAACTACATTTCCATGGACACTTTTTCATCTTTTCATTATTTTATGCTAATTTTCACCTACCTGCTGCATGGACTGCAGAATAAATAATCTTTCCATTGATGTATGGTTTGTTAGGATAGGACAATATTTGGCTGAGATACAACTATTTGAAAATCTGGAATCTGAGGGTGCAAAAAAATCTAAATATTGAGAAAATCATCTTTAAAGTTGTTCAAATGAAGTTCTTAGCAATGCATATTACTAATCAAAAATTAAGTTCTGATATATTTACGGTAGGAAATATCTTCATGAAACATGATCTTTACTTAATATCCTAATGATTTTTGGCATAAAAGAAAAATGGATAATTTTGACCCATACAATGTATTGTTGGCTATTGCTACAAATATACCTGTGCTGCTTATGACTGCTTTTGTGCTGCAGAGTCACATAAGTTTATTACTGCATCAGGTTTGACTAGTTTGACTAGTTCTTCACTGTTTAATACCAAAAGGTGAAACTGGTTGTAGATCACCTGCTCTTTCAGGGAATATGAAGCATTGGAATAATGCTTCCTTCATCGGACCGCGGTGGTCTGAAGGTGCTCTGGACTCAAAGCTGGTGTTTCAGACTGGATGGGTGGAGGTGACAGACGGGTGTGGAGCTGCAGATGTGCCCGGCGCAGACAGGAAGCAGTAAACGTGCTGGATGTAACACTGGACGACAGGCCTAGCTCACTGCTGCTTCTGAACAGGATTTTACAGCCCAAACCCTGGAAGACACTGGCGACAGAAGCCCTGAGAGCTGCTACGGTGTGTTCAGCGTTATACGGTTATTTACCACCGCTAATGGCTGCTGCCAGACTGACACAGACACATCATTAATGCAGCTCCTCAACAACAGTAAGATAAAAGACACCAGTGTATAATGGATCATTTTATTAACAATGCAATTCAGAGCGTGATTTTCTGAAGATCCACAATCTGTCCGGTGGATGCGTTCGGCACTGTGGTGACTGGAACAACAGGCCAGTGAGATGTCAAACATAAGGAGAGATGCTATAGGTCGTGTTCATGTCATGTGACCGAGAGCCTCCAACTGACCTGTGTGTGGAATGTGGAGCCACACTGAGACACTTAATGAACTTAACTAAGACATTCATGCAGACTTGTGTGTTTCCTCTGGCTGACTCACATTACTTTAACATCTGTCTGGATGTTGATGCACAAACACTGCTCTCTCTGTGTGTGTGTGTGTGTGTGTGTGTGTGTGTGTGAGAGAGAGATGTTCTCTGATTCTCTTCCATTTACGCCAGATATTCACTGTCTAAATACAACTGGTTCAGTCAGTTATTATTCACCCTCATTACATTCTAAATAGGGCTGTGCGATTTGGGGGAAAATATCAAA